TTTTATGGGGTATGTGTACACCTCTTGGCTTGTAATAGATAGGGTTTGGAGAGCACTTGATGAAGACCTATTGAAGACGTGACCTTGGACGTGTGCCTAGCTAGCAAATGTAATAGGTTCATTAGCTTGATTGCTTGCTTTTGTTGCTATGTGTTAATTTGCTTTATTAGGCTATTGCATCTAGTCGAGCATGCTACGTGTTATGTGCTATGTGTTTATGAGTGTTTGGCATGTCTACTTGCTTTCCATAGCTATGAATGAATGTGATGGATGAATGTACGTTTCCACTAGTCCAACGCTAGTCGGAATTCATAGAAAGGGCTAGTCCAATGCTAGACCCAATAGGCCATCCCCCTTTCATTAGTGCATACTTGCATGTTCACTACATTTCATGCATTTTTCTTAGTTTTATCATTTGGCATGCTCCTCCAATCCTTTTCCCCTCATTTTAGGATTTTTGCACCTCATGCTAGTTATAGGGTACATTTGCTTGAAGAGTCCCCTTTCGATAAGGGAAACGAGCGAGTGTGGCTACAAAATAGCCTTAGCACGCTATTCTTGATTGCAATTTCTCTTTTGCACTTCATATTCTCTTTAAACCACTTCAAATCATCATCAATCATCCAATTATCTTCTCAATACACTCCATTTGATGATCGAATCATTAAACCTACAAAAACATGGAGTTTTTACCCTTAAAATCCATAGAAATGCAATTTTTCCCACTTAAACCACAAAATATATATTTTCACTAGAATCCTAGTTAATTAGCTATAAAATTAGTTAAAACGTTCCAAAACACACTAAAAAATACGTAAAATATCTACTTGTCTGTTAGGGGTAAGTGTATTTAGATTTCCGCCGCGTAGTATATTCACATATACATAGTAAGTTTAACATGTGGTATTAGAGCTAACCTCTAACCATGTTGTTCAGCTAATAATTTCGTGGTTTATTGGCAATCTAATAAAAGTTTTAGAGAGTCGTATCAAGTTTGAACGAATCAAATTTAATTTGCCATGGGATCTATGGTCCATTTTCTCAATAATTGAGATTTATTGACTAATCCTATATATATGTATCATTCATATGATATTTTATTTGGTTATGCAATTCATCCAGATTTCCTCCAATAATCTGGTATGACTGTAAGTAATTTGAATGTTTCTTGGACTTACATATTTGTGATTGTAAGGTTATATGTATTAATTGTTGTTATCAATACAATATAATAATTTGAGAAACATATAAAGAGTTGTTATATGCAACAATCAAAAGATTAATATCATATTAATCTATACAAGATAATTGGTTGACTTTATGTGAATGGATCTAGAGGTTTATTGAATCTCTGCTACCTTATTATAAGATAAATATCTAAAGGCATGATTTCAATATGAGTTGGCCTTCATGTACCTGTTTTCATATTATAATGTCAACATTAGTATGATTGATTACATTTAAATTTCAGAGAATTTCCTCTATAAAGTGTGTCTTGCATCTCAATTATTTGATGCATGAAGTATTTTAATCACATAAAGGTTGGTGGTTGAAAATGAATATTAAAAAAAGAAATTATGAAATTCTTTTGTCAAAATACAGACTTTTTGACTATTTTGATATCTTTATAAAGTCTAGCACACTTTATGTTTGAGAGTAACAAAAGCATCTCAAACATTGGTGTACTACAATTTTGATCACATATAGTTAAGTGATTAAAATCAAGGATTTCTAGTGAACAAGTTGGCTACTCATTTTCTATGAATTTTCATTAGAAGTTTTCTTGCATTGTATATTTGGGAGTAGTAGCTTTGAAAATAGTGAAGTTATTTCTAAAGGTTTCAGTACCATCCTTTAAATTGAGCAATATATTGCACTTGACCACAATAATTATATTGGCAGCAAGTATGTTTATCACTGGGGAAACTCCTTAAATTTTGGCATAAGAGATTCAGATATATCTCTATAAGGAAATAAAGAGTTGATAAATCATAAATCTTTAAAAATTTTAGATTTATTGACTATAAAATTTTAGGTAGACTGCATAAGTAAAACAGACTATTCAACCATTATGGATGCCATAAGAGTTTCATTATAACACTAAAATATTGTGAATTATTTTCTATCCTTTTTGATTGGTGAGAGATATTTATCTCATTATTAGATAACCATTCATCAGATATAAATTTCCTTTCTTATTTGATAAAGGATCAATATTTGATACCTTTGTAAGTGTTCAAACGAGAAAGGAAATTTGAAATTTGAGGGATAGAAAATAAAATGAAGGCACACAAAATTAGGGGACTATCCTATATGTGCTCATTTTATAATTTCCTTAATTACGAAGCATTGCTAATGAGTAAAAGCAATGCTTGATTAGTTACATCCAAAAGATGTACCTTAAGGAAATAATGAGATAGTTGTGGATAGAGCATTTTGACAATCTTTATATCTTGTGAGTAATGCCTTGAAATTGAAATATATACTTAAACAATTTCCTCCAATGTTGTTTAAACACCACTTTGATAATGGTATGGATGGAAATCAAGTTTAAAATATTATGTTCAATTTTGTGAGGGTAATTAACCTACACATAAAGAAGTTGTACAAAGGAAACAAGGCTATCTTACTTCAAGAAATTTAGATTCCTTTACACTTCAAGAATTATTAGAACTGGAGATATAAATTTCTTAAGAACATGAAGTAAGGGGAGCGTTTTGACTTTAGAATGGAGTTTTGAAATCATAAGGATTCATATTTGACTCCTTTGCATATGGAAAATTGATAGCTTTTGTCAAAATAATTATTTAATTATTTTAGATAAGCAATCAATTGAAAAACTTCTTATGAAATAAACACAAAAAGATAAATCCACTTTCAACCTGTGGTTGACTTATCTTTGAAATAGTGGGAGGCAAAATGTTCTCTATAGAGAATTGAAGTTCTCTGGTTACTATGTTGCATATCTACAAGAGTTTAAGGATGAATTGGCTAATGTTTTCATAAGGTACAAATGGAGAAATCTCTATTTTCAGGAATAATGTCACAAATTACCACAAAATCTCTACCAAATTTTGAGAGATTTTATTTAGGGTAATTATGACACTAGTAACTCACTATTAGAGATACATTAGATAAATATGAAAACAAATGTCCTTAACGTGACTCTTGATAATTAGCTGTACACATGTGTCACCACAATACATTTGTAGAGAATGCAATTTAAATTGTTTCTTCCCAATAGTATATTAATTTATTCTTCATTTGATCTTAGAAGAATTTTTTCTAGTAAATTAATATACATTAAGGTTAGTGGGAGTAATACTATGAGAGTTTTTCTCGATCATGATATTTGTGAAACCCTTCTATCATTGATATTCACAAAATAGAATGTAAAAGGTAGTTAATCTATCTTAAAACCTTCATACAAGAGTTTAATTTCTAGACTCAAAAGCAAGCAAAGAATTTCATAATTTCTTTATAAGTCATATTTCCAACATCAAGGAAATAATAAGTTATAGGATCCATTATTTCCTGATTGTTAGATCACTAAATCGAGCTCAAAGCCTAACAATCGGTTTGGGCTCGACTCATTTACTAACCTGTATTAGTACCAAACTTATATAATATACATGCAATTCGATACTTAAATTCAACTGATTATGAAACATGTATCACTTAATAGAGTTACCAAAAATAATATTTTAGTATTTGAATTTCTTAGTGTTCAGATTTTAGATTTTATTTTTCTGTTTTACCTAACACCCTTTTGTCTTCTTCGAGTGTTCGGCGGATGAGTTCCAGAAGGAATCTAGAAATTTCGTGCGATAAATGATGCGTGAAAACTGAGCAATGTTTGGTAAGATTTTCCTGTCAATTCAGGTCACAACTCTTTTGGGGGTGCCCATCTTTAAGGTTTACCAATGGTATTAGTATTTGTTTCTGATCCATAGTTAGTTTCATTAACGTTGATGTATTTGACCACCATTGCCGGCTCCATTCATTTATAAGTAGAACCTAGTACTGCAGTCTCTTCTTCTCTCGCCTCCCATATTTGTTTTCAAGAAACAAAACCAACCAAATCTGTGCAAATGGATTCTATTTTTGGGAGAAGAGCACTAATTTGATAAAGAAACTTAATAATTGGTTTGTTTGGATTGTATTTATTTGTTTGTATCATCAATACATTTTTCGACTACCCTTTTATGTTACATATATCAAATCAAAAAAGGTGTTTCAGTATTTTTTTTCAAAAATATCTCAAATAATCTATTATCCAAACATAGACAAATGTTTCATGTAAATTCTTCACCCGAGACGGAGGTATGGAAACAAAAAATGAATATTTTGGAGGTAATTCTTAGCTGTCATTTTATTTGTTCCTATTGTTGTGAAGCTTTTAAGATGGAGTTTTTTTTTTTTTTTTTTTTTGATGATAAGTAAGAGGTTTTGAACTTTGAACCACATACTTACAATCCCTCCTAAGTTATAACCAATCAAACAGCCCCTCCCCCCCCCTCCCCCGCCAAAAGATGGATGCTTTTCTTTTTTCTTTTAAGTGTAAGTGGGAGATTTCGAAGTCGGAACTTCTATTTACACTCCTTGCTTCTATACCATCTAATCTATCCCTCCTCCTCTAAGATGAAGTTTTAAGTGTTCATAAATTGAAAATATGTACAAATAAAGGCATAATAATTATTATTAATTTATAGTGCCCTTTATCTTGTTATTTTAGCTAACTTTGTCATTTATTGGAATTAAATAAGATAAACTTAGAGTTTGGAGTACAAGTGTCTAAAAATGGATTTTAAAGTGTAACGTGTCTAAAATCGAAATTTTAGGATGCAAAGCAAGAAACAAGTACAAGTTTGGAGATTCATCAAAGTAAAGTTAGTCTTATTTTCATTGGTCACTCAGATAATGTACCTAACCTTTATCATGGATCAAATACAACTCGACTTAATAGATTCCTTTTGCTTGAGTGAGGGAAGTGAAAGGTCTCCAGTACCTTCCAAACCAACCTCGAACTGCTTAAATAGCGTTCCTCAGCATGCCATCGTCCCCAGACTTCATTCTTTTCCTGATCCTCCACATCAGTTTCAAAAACTCTCCATAGCCCTTCAGTTTTAGATATCTCAGAATATTCAAGAATGGCAGAAAAAAGCAAGATTTTGATCATTGGTGGAACAGGATACATTGGCAAGTTTATAGTTGCGGCCAGCACTAAGGCTGGTCATCCAACCTTTGTACTGGTTAGAGAATCTACTGTTTCTGATCCTGTTAAGGGAAAACTTGTTGAAGGCTTCAAGAACTCTGGGCGACTCTTGTTCATGTAAGCAGCGTTAATTTTTCAATTAATTTGACAGTGTTGTCAATTGGGATTCCTTTTTTTCCCTTTTAGCTGGTGATGCTTTTTGATCTCGATATTGGAATTCTTCCTTGGAGCAGGGTGACTTGTATGATCATGAAAGTTTAGTGAAGGCCATAAAACAGGTGGATGTGGTCATATCAACTGTTGGTAACGGACAATTGAATGATCAGAGGAAGATCATTGATGCAATTAAAGAAGCTGGAAATGTCAAGGTGTGTTGTTTATGTGGTCTTGTTACTACTGATTCTCACTGGGGAATGTATTTGAATACGTTTGTTGTTTTTCTTACGTTGCAGATCTGTAGCTCTGCAATTTAGATAATTATAGGTTTTCAATTGTCGAAATATAGTAAATTTTGATAATGCACACGAAATTCATGTATATAAGGGTTGTATGTGTCGTTCGTAGAGCTTGATGATACATTTTCAGAGTGGAGAAGCAACTAAGATTAATTGGCCAATTTGCTTAATTGAAATTTCAGTCGATTTTAAGCCTATCTATTGGGCAGAGTTAATTGAGGTTCTTTTAGCCATCGTGAAAAACCACAGTGATTTGACAATCTGTGAATTTGAGGAAAAGATTGCAGATTGGAATGAAATAGAGTATAATTTGTGTCAGTTTTTATCTACTATCGTTCCCAAATTCTGACACATAATATGGTGAAATTCTCAGAAATTCTACCCTTCAGAGTTTGGAGTTGATGTGGATCGCCAAAATGCAGTTGAGCCTGCCAAGTCTGCATTTGCAGGAAAGTCTCAGATTCGTAGAGCTACTGAGGCAGCAGGGATCCCTTACACCTATATCTCGTCTAACGCTTTTGCTGGATATTTTCTTCCAACCTTGTTACAGCCAGGAGCCACTGCACCACCACGAGATAAAGTTGTCGTCTTGGGAGACGGAAATGCTAAAGGTATGGCATATAATATCACTTGGATATATTATTCTTTTTCACCCACTTCACCTGATCATTTTCTTATCCTCTGCTGAACTTATCCTGTAAGAACGTGAATATTGTACTGGTGCTTAAAAATTTTTTTTTTTTAAATGTTTCAATTGTAGCTGTTTTTAATGAAGAACATGACATTGGTACTTTCACCATCAAAACTGTTGATGATCCAAGAGCATTGAACAAAGTTGTCTACATTAGGCCTCCTAAGAATAGTGTATCATTTAATGAGTTAGTGGCAGTATGGGAGAAGAAGATTGGTAAAACTCTGGAGAAAGAATATATTCCTGAGGAACAACTCCTGAAGAACATCCAAGGTGACAAGAAGTTTGATTTCAATTTCCTTAATTCTTTATTGTATGAATTATTAGTGTATGAATGGACCATTTCTTCGCAGAGGCTCCAATTCCGCTCAATGTTATATTATCAATTAACCATGCAATTCTGGTAAACGGTGATACTACCAACTTTGCAATTGAGCCATCTTTCGGTGTAGAGGCTTCAGAGCTTTATCCTGATGTCAAGTACACCACTGTCGAGGAGTACCTTGATCGATTCGTCTAAGAAGTTCATTAGTCTTCTGATTGATATGGTCATGGCCTGGAATAATTGGCTGATAAACTTGGTCGAAGACTTTGTGTTGAATGTCTTGTAATGACCTTTGTTAAATTCTTCTGCAACATTTGATTTTACTAAATGTATTATCACCAGTTTAAAAAATAGTTTCTGCCCTTTGTGGGAATGAGGTTGTAACAAAACGAGTTGTTTTCCTTTTTCTGCAATGCTTGTACCACATCTCCTTGCAACTCATTTTATAAGCATGTCAATCTTGTGAATTGCTGCTAATAACTTTCTGACTTTTGTGAAATACAACTCTAGTGCGACAATATGCAATCATATCTGTGCCATTGCCGTTGTGGTTTACTTTGTTGATGAACAAGCAACTTGACGTTTGTTGAGTTGTGGCTTGGGAAGGATTCTAAAATCCTTCCTGCTGTCAAATCGAGGGATAGAATCCTTTGTCCGGTAATAGGAGGATAAGAAGGGTGTGAGGAGGAGCGGGAGGGTGAAAAAAAATATATTTGTTGAGACGGTTGTTTGGTAATGGGGTGAGAAGTGTGTGGGAAGTAATACAAGGGTTTTTTTTTTTTTTTTTTTTTTTAAAAAAAAACCCTCCCTTTATTGAGTCGTAGATGCATAATTATTGCTTTAAACCCACCAAGCTTATGATTGTGCCTGGTTGTTGTTGAATGAAGGGATGCTTTTGAATTTCACTCTTTGCATGTTTCTTTATTCAGATATAGTAATGATGTCAACAGCAAAACTTTGTTAGGGAACCTTTAATGGAAGAAAAACCAGTGGCCCGCACATGGTCTTTATAATCTCAAATACGTCGCCATTGAACTAAAGCATGATGGTGTGTTTCATCCATTTCATGTAGATTCTGGTCTCCAATTTTCATGCCGTATTTTCTGGTAAATTTTTCAGTAAGTAGTCTCTTTGATTTGTGGCTTTGGCCAATATTCACCAAAATGGATTCTTTGATTGCTCGGGAGCAACTTGTTGACGTAGTTGTGGACTCTTCTCTGCATTCCCATTATTTGTTGCGTGACAATTTGTTCCACTAAAACCCTGGAGAATGACATTGAACTTTTCATCAGAAGCTTGGAATTTGGGCTTTACTTTGCAAATTACAACCACCATCTATTTTAACTAATTCTAAATTATATTATACTTTCTAATTTTTAAAGGAAAATTTCTCTAATAACTTAAATATATTACAATTTGACATGACAATTTATCATTTAAAAATTAAAATAATTTTTAAAATAAATCAACATTCCAAGATGCAATTAGTGTAACGAACACTGATGATACGTATGAGTTAAAATCTAGTTCTAAATTATATTACACTTTTTTTTCCAAACATCTACTTTTCTCATAAGGGTGATATGAATATATTCAGCATTGATATCTAGGGAAAGTTATTTACAATATGATATGAGATTTAAACCATAACCACTAACCATCGTGGTTGGTTCAGTGGCCAAAAGAGGTTCGTGAGGCTTTTTGCTGTCAAGTTCAGAGTTCGAATTCTGAATTTTACAGTTTGGGGTTGGAAAGGTTGTGGGTAGATATGGCCACGATTCTAGAACTTCCAGTTCCGATTAAAATTTGATGGTTCCAGTTTTTTCGAAATGTGGAATCAGAACCTGCCCTTCTAGAAACGGTTACGGTTGTGATCATGATTCATGAACCTTCGGTTTCAGTTCTAATTTTACTCCAACTGTAGTTCCAATTCTTTTGGGTTACAATTTTGATTTTTTTAGTTATACTTAAACACTTATTCTTATAAGATAGATTCTAAAAAAATATGACAATGAATGTAGCAAAAACTAAGAACTTTATTGCATTATCAAGTCTAAGAAAAAAGAAAATAATGCAAATTTTATAAGAATACCTCATTATTGATTAGATTGTATTGATCTCTGATTTGGGTTAGCTAAGGGATCTAGACTTACTAATGAAATGGAACAACGGCTTGCTCGGATAGAATTAAATCTGTTAGTATTAGGTGTTGACTATTGATATTGAACTCTAAACTAGCCAAATTGATTTAAATAGCAATATTTTTTTTTGACGGTTTGAATTGGTTACATACTACCATTTCCGGTTCTCATTCATATTTTTTAATGAACCTGAACTTTGAATTTTTAGTCATGGTTGTGGCTCTGATTTCGATTCAATAAATCGTTGGTCCAGTCTCGATTTAAATCTGAATTGTGGCTGGAGAGGGAGAGAGGGGAATTATAGAAATTGGATAAGAGATTTTAATAATTTAATAATTATATTGAATCTTATAGGAGGTAAGTGTAATTTAATTCTTTTTAACATAGGTTTATACACATTTAAAACAAGACATTTAACCGTATCCAAACATTTGAAAGAAATACACATTTAATTCTTTTTAACATAGAGTTGTTGAATTTACGAAATGTTTCAAATCATATAAAAATTTTTAAAGGGTAATAATGTCTTTTCGCTCAAAAATTGTCAAGAAAATAAAAATTTCTAACTCGAGCTCGATCGAGCTCTATAAGGTTTGTATTAACTTGAGATCATGCGAGTCGAACTCGAGTTCTACGAGCAAGCATCTAGCTCGAGCTCAGCTCCAATAATAATACTCGCTCAAACTCGAGCACCCTTCTTGCATGTTGAGTCGAGCTCGAGTATGGCGGTACTCGGGCTCGACTCGACTCGATTATATCCTAGTCTTGACCAGTCTACTTTTGGTAATGTAATCTAGACATGTAGTATAGTTAGTAAAAGCCAAAGCCATTGGGCCTTTATTTAGCAATATTTAATAGTTTTTGCGAATAGTACGCTTGATGTCAATGTTATTATATAAGGCAAGTGGAGTTTTGTTTCAATTTCAAATGTGATTTGAAAATCTAGAAACATAAATTTGTTATTTTAAAAGGACTATGAATAATCAGCATAAAAATTATATTCAATAGTTATTAATTTAAATAAGTGATTTCTAAATTGTGACAAAATATGTTTTGGAAAATGAATTATCTTCTATGAGTAACCAGTCCACTGTGTATTTGTAAAGGCTTCATTTTTTATAATTGATACCTTAACATAAGTCGTTTAATGTAAAAATAATTCACCTAGTGTTGTTCAAGATCAAAAAGTACAAAATAAGACTTTCAATTAATTCTTTAATTATTTCTCATTAAGATTCAAATCTTTCAATGTTTTCCTGAAGGATAATGATAATTTTTCTCATCCTCTTATGAAACCATTACTACCTCTGTTTGGGTTTCCATATTAATGAGAGACAATGTTAACTTTAAATATCTCAACTTTCAAATTTAAACCATCCTTATTCTTTCACAGACACATGGTTAATTGTCAACAATAGCCATATTATTTAATGTGCATTATGAAAATTTTTTAGTAGTTCAAAACCTCAAGAGATGATTAAAAATAAAATGCCAAAGAATTATTAAAAAATTTCAATATGTGAGATTTGTTACATAGCAAAATAATCATTATTTAAAGAGTGTACTCAAACATATTCTATAAGTCCTTCAAAAAAAAATTAATCTATAAGTGTCAGCAAAAATGATTTAGGGTACTTTAGTCAAAATTTACTATAATTCCACAACTGCTTTCTTGAAAATTTGACATCAATCAAATTAGGGTAATAACCTTACATTTTATGTGAATATGAAAATTATTCAGCATATTAATAAAAATATTTTAATTGCTCCCACTAATTGTATCCATCTATTATATTAATATATATAAGTTAAAATGGGATTCATGCTCACATTTGCTAAGTAAAATTTTGCACATAAAATTAAGAGAACGTAGCACTATAGCGAACATAGGGAATAATTATAAATCATTAGAATATTGCACAAGTTAAAATATATGAGTACTTATATAAAGCATAATGACGCCACTTTGTGTTATAATAACATTAACGGAAACAATAGAATCCAAACTAGGAAGCTAAAAATGATAAATCAAAGAAATATATCTCACCTTTGGCCACAAAAAATTTCTTGACTTAATGCTAGGGGTGGCAATTCGGGTCCAAATCAGGTTGGTGGGTCGAGTCTGATCCGACCCGTCAAAAAATCTATTGACCCGAACCCGACCCGCCAACCCGTGACGGGTCAGGTATACTGACCCGAACCCGAAAATTTCAGGTTGACGGGTTGGCGGTTGACCCGAAACTTAATTTTAATTTATTAATTTATCACTGTAATTTCTAATAAAATTAATTTCTCACAAAACTAATTACATAATTAAGTAATAAAAATTTAAATAAATAATTTCAAACTAAATCTAAAATAAATTAAACACCGTAAAAGTGTTTTATCCGAAACAAATATAAAATAAATTAAAACAGTATAAAAGTAAAAATAATACTCCCTCCGTCCCGTTTTGTTAGTCTTGGTTTTTTTTCACACAGATTAAAAAAGTGTAATTAATTTGGTTGGAAACATAAATTTAGATTAATAATTTCCTAAAATACCCTTATGCTAATCACGAAGAGTGCCAATTAATATCAGTTACAGCTAATGGGTTAGTATTGGAAAAGCTCAATGTATTCAATGTAGTGGGTTAGTATTTAATAACAATGTATTAATAACAAGATATTTAATAAGGGTATTTTAGACAATTTAAAAGATTACTACATTTCTTAATGGGAAAGTGGACTACAATTTGGGACAGACGAAAAAGGAAAACAATACTATCAAAGTGGGACGGAGGGAGTATAATATATTATTTGTCCAAATATAATAATTTCAACTTCACACAAATTAAATAAATTCATTTAGGATTAAGTAATTAATGCCTTTGAAAAAAAGAATAGCTTAGTTTAGTTAGATAAAATTATTTTTATGTTTATTAAATTATTTTTAATTCGTAAACGGGTCATATCGGGTCATATCAGGTCACCACGGGTTGATCGAAATCGACCTGTTTTCTTTTCGGGTTCAACTCGATTCTGACCCGAATTCCCAAAACCTCAACCCAAACTCATTAATTTCGTGTTAGGTTTGTATCGTGTTTTCAGATCGTGTCGAAAATTGCCACCCCTACTTAATGCCATAATTGAACCTATGTCAAAGGCATCTTTGAGATTGCCCAATCCTCCACCTGGAATCGGGAAAGCATATCCCTCCGATACTTTCCTTGTCGAAGTTCCATTCCTTGTGTTCAGGTGTATAAAAGCCGAAAAAGAGTCGGGTTGATCAGAATTGAACGAGTCTTTCCGGGCCCAATGGTCAATTCCCAGAATAGAAAAGGGCAT